AATTCCTGACAGGAATGGCGTAAATCTAGAATCACTGGTTACTAAAACATTATTCCAAACGACATCAGGTAGAGGACAGAGCGGAGTGCCTCAGCCACACAGCTCACGCACTATGACGGTCCCTTGGTGAAAAGCGAACACACACTCACACTCGTGCAAGATCTCGAAAGCTCTTGACACTGAGTGCGTCGAGGGCGGACTTACTGCAAACCGCCTACCCTTCTGCGTGGTTCGAACCTGCACACTTTTCCAATTTTAAAAGCCACCAACTCTCACACGTTCATGTTTGTTGATCATTTATAGCATACTAGATTTGGACCAGACATATGAGTATAAGCAGGAATGATACTGTCTGTCTTCCAGGAACTTATAAACAAATACAGCGATTATCGGAAGGGTTGCTTTTACACACTACAGACAGCGCACCGTCCCGCTGAGAATCTGTAATGAGATGTTTCCTACAAGAGACGAACACGAACACAGTAAAACAACTCATATGTGTTTTTGTTGACAGTGAATGACAAAGGCTTGCCTGACTCCAAAATTTCTCACAGCGCCCACTAACATGCTGACACAATTAATTTATCAAGTTCATTAGCTTCACTTCTCCCAAAGCAGAACCCTGGGAAGAGAAATACAATAATCACAAATTTAACGGTAGTGATGAATAAAACACTTAAAGACTCTGTCCCTCAAAGGTAGTATAATCAGATCTTGAACAATCAGGTTATAAGGAGAGTATAGTGAAGTTATCAAGCGAAGTATAAAGAAGCTGTAATGGATTGACAACTGGTGGGCAACTGATAACCCCCAGCTAAACGAAATAAGCGTGGTGCTGGCTGTGGGAGGCCCACCTGAGGACTGTTGCCAGCAGCATAAGAGCAGGAGGGGAGAAAGAAGGCTGTTGGGAGCTGGTAGAATCTGTTGGCAGCCTGTTGGAAGTGCTGAGAAGCTGTAAGGAGCTGTTGGTTCTCTCGGAGGACCTTGTCATGCTGGCTTTCCTGATGAACTCAGCTGTTTTCATCCTCCATGGAGCTCAGGACCTTGTTGCTGAGAACGGCTTTGGTTCACTTTGGGGGAGCTCTGGTTCCCATTCTCAGCACTGCTTCCTGGTTCTGGAGGGGAAGATGGTGCACTGCTGAGTCTCCTGGAGAAGCCTGTCACATTGGCTTTGATGGGAACTCAGCTGTCTTAATCATCAGAGGAGCTCGGGACCTCACTCTTGCTGAGGATGGCTGTGGTACTTTTCGGGGGAGCTCTGGTTCTTACTTTGCATGTCACTTCCTGGCTCCAGTGCAGATCCCTCAGCCTGCTAGCAGAGATCCTGCATCCCACTGGCACAGCCTTTCTAGATTCCACCACTGACCTTTGGGTCTTCCCAGTGCAGACCCATGAAACAGGCCTGCATGAGATATGGGCTCTGGGCCTCCAGTTGGATTCTTGGGAGGCGTTGTTATGGGTTCTAGGTCTTCAGCTGGACTCAAGCAGGACATTATCGTGGGATCCAGGCCTTCAGCTGGATTCTTCTGTCTTTCGTGTGTGGACAGATTTCCTGTACTCTCTTGTATATGATTCTTTGGGTGACTATTATAAATAATCTTATAAAATATGTGTCCTGTATTATATTGTTCTCCCTTGCAAAAACCCCAAACCACGATAGAAGCTAACTAGGAATTACAGAATATTGTGAAAACAAATTTAGAATGGAACAGTTTTGCCTGGGTCAAACTATTCTATGTACATATGTCAACAGTCTGCTGATCAAAAATCTCAAAACAACTAGTTTGTCGTTAAAGCATTTCATATAAAACATACATAAAAAGCAATCATCAAAGAAGTATGCCATGGCTACAAAGTTATAGTAACCAAGACATCATGGTACTGGGATAAGCGTAGACATAAAATATAGATTAATGGAATTGAAAGTAAAGAAAAAACTCATGTACAACATATGATTTGTAACAAAGGTACTAAGGCAATTCAGTGGGGGAAAGAATAGCCTTTTTCCCTTGACAGTGCTGCAATAACTGGAAAGACACATGTAAAAAATTAACTCATAATGATCGGAGACCTAAACATGAGATAAAACTCATAAAACTCTTTGAAGAAAACAGGCACAAGCTCTTGTGACCTTAGATAATACTTTCTTAGAAATGGCAAAAAGGAAAGAAAAGAAAAAATGAAAATGGTGTTTCATTCTGAAGAGAATAACACCACATTCAACTTAAAAGGTTAATACTGTTTAGATTCACATTCACCAAAATTAACTTCTGGGCTGAGAAGTATACCAAAAACCAAAAGTACAACCGACAGGATGGGAGAAAATTTCTGCAGACCATGTATCTCCTCTCTTGTACCTATTATACATAAAAATTTTTACAACTCAATAAATGATGACCCAATTAAAATGGGCACAGGATCTCACAAGACATTTCTCCAAAGCTGCCGAAGAGCCAAGATACCCACTAAAAGACGACCGACAAATATCGGCCCTCGGGAAAATGCAAAGCAAAACTGCAAGGATGTAGCGGCTCACATCCACTGGCATGGCCGGCATCCAAGTCAGACTAGCAAGTACTCATGAGGACGTGGGCAAACTGGAGCTCTGACACACCGCTGGTAGGATCATTAAATAACGCAGCTACTTCAGAAAAATGTCAGATCCTCAAACATTTAAAGTTATCACATGACACAGCAACTCAACTTCACAGACACACATCCAGGGAGAAATGAACATGCACACAGGAGGGCACTGGTGGTAAGGCAGGCATCCATGTCTGTATCTGAAATGCTTAGCAAAAACAGCAAAAGTAGTAAAAATAAGTAAATGAAAAATAAAAGCCACATCAGGACAAAGACCTATACAATCAATGCTGGTACTGACATGTACATTCAAAGAAGTGACACTAAAATTATAAACTCTTACGAGTGCTTAAATGTACTGAAATGTTTCTCACACAAGTATGTAGTAATTCTTTGCAGGTCCCATTTTAATCCATTGTTTTACAGCGATCAATACAAAAGAATTTTTGAAATTTTTTTTTATTCAAATAGACTCACATTCAACAACCAGCAAATGAACAGACACTTCTCAGAAGGAAAAATAGCCAGTACATACATGAAGTGTTCAACATTGCTGGCCATTAGAGAAATGCAAGTTAAAACAACACTGAGATCCCATCTTACTCCAGAAAGAATGGATACCAAGGAAACAAATAATAAATGCTATCAAGGCTGCAGGGGATAGGAACCCTTCTATATTGCTGGTGAGAATGTAAACTAGTACCACTATGGAAATCATTATGAAGACTCCTCAAACAACTGAAGATAGAAACTCCACTTAACCCAGCTAGTCCCCTTCCAGGTATCTTTCCAAAAGTAAGGACATATTACAGTAATACGTGCATACCCGTGTTTATAGCAGGACAGTACCTAAATCTATGTCCCTCTATGTCGAGCGAACTCTATGTCCATCAGCAGATGGATAATGAAAATGTGGTGTATATATACACAATGGGTCACTACTCTGACATACGGATACATCTGAATCATGTGTTGGAAAATGTCTGCACCCTGAGACCTTGTTAAGTGAAATAAATCAGACACACAAGCATAAATAAGGCATGATTTCTCTTACATGACAAACCAAAAAACAGCACAATAAAACATAGTTGAGAGGAAGTAGGGAGATCTTTTTCAAAAGGGCAGGGATCATGATGGAGATAAAAGGAACTCAGACAGGCTGTACACGTACCAGCTCTGCACAAGGAATGTAAACATTATGGACTGCAAACATGTCTTAATTAAAAAATGAGAAAACAAGTCAAGGTCACATGGCTTGAAAAGATCTGAATTGGATTTTTGTCTCAATTCATCGTCACCAACCATGAAAGTAATGTTTTTTGATCAAGGCCCAAGAGATAAGAAAGGGTACAGGAATTTGTTTTCATTGGTTTTCTAAAACAATTAACTTTTATTAAAATATGTATCTTTACAAACCTTGTATAAATAACCTTGATTTTAAAAGGCAATGGGTATAAGGAAAACTAGTACACGACTCGCCTCACCACGCTAAAGTACTGTTTGGATATTGTGAGGAAGCGAAGCCCTCCTCTCACTCCAGGGCTGAACTCTCCCCTGACCTCCCAGACCTTTCCTTGTCCACGTCATCCTGCACACAGAAATCCTACTTCTCAGGGAACTCATTTTTTTCTATTACCACAGTTCAAGAACTCAAGGTTCAAGTTATGCTAAATTTGTAGATTTTCAGTTCAGAATCTTGCACCTAAGTCTTTCCTTAAAGAGAACATCCATTCTTTCTCACATCATCACTCTGGCCAATCTTTCCACATCCACTTCCTCCTGAGGAGTTTATTAAACCTATTCAAACAAATGTAAACAAGGGAAGTAAATACAGAGCTGTTAGGACCCAGGACTGCCGCCCACCACTCACCTACCTACAACTTACCGTTCCAGGCGGTGGTGCTGGGGACTGCGCCACGGCCTTCTCACCCACATCCCCAAGCCTTTTCATTTTTTGCATTCTGAGGCAGGATCTGACAAAGTCAAACTTTCCCAGGCTGAGCTCCAATTTATAATCCTTCTGTTTCAAGCTCCCGGATCCCGGGATCCACTTACTTTAGACATTGGGTAGAACAGCCCAGATGCTCCAAATGTGGGTCATGCTTTCCTTCTGTCACGTCGATGCTCACGTCACTTCCTTTCCTTAGGAATAGTGCTTCCTGCCAACCCTATTAAGTCTTCTTTGTTCACATTTCTCTTGTCGTGACCCAGCAGAGAAACTCAACTCCTACCACCCTTTAACACCCCGGGCCTCCAGGTCTAGCATGGCAGAGACACAGCATCGGGATGGCAGGGAAAGTAAGTATCAAGGACACAGGGCCAAATGAATTCTGTCTCCTCGGATCTGTTTGGGTAAGGCCAGCCCAGTCTTAAAAACATTAATCACTAAAAAAAAAAAAAAAAAAAAAATCACCTGCTTCTAGTTATATAATCAATTTTAATGAAAACATTCAATAGGGAATGTTTCCCATTGCTCCCAAGATTTCAGCTCTTTCTGCTGCTGTAGGCATAAACGGCTTCACTCCATTCTGTCTTCTTTCCACCATGATAGAATTCTGTGCATAGGCATAAAAGAAACCAGCATCAGCCAACTATTAAATGGTATATCATTTGCCAGTAATTTGCTATTGTTTGTCAAAAAGAAAATTCTAAAACTCCAGCTTAAGAAATCTAAAACCCTGTTCCAGGAGACTAAATAAATGTTTCAAACTATTAACATTTAAATAGAAGCGATTATTCCCACAGATATATGTTAACAGTAATTGGGACAAGGAACTACCTTAGAAGTACAGGAGCACGAGAATGTATACAGGCCACCAAGAATGGCCGGATAATTGCTAAAGGAAGCAACAGCTCACTGAGCAAAGGGAAAAGAAGTGGCGAGACCCTGGGCTCAGAGAAGCAGAAACTGTGCGTCAATGCTTTGAGAAGGGTGGGACCGTTTCACCTACCACGAGTGGTAGTGAGAACGGAGCCAAGAAATTAAAGTCTAATGTGGTGTGTGAGAGCACACACACACACAGTAAAGAACCTTCACCTACGTTAGGGGAGAGAAAGGGGATATGGGATATATGTCTCTCGACACACTTATATCTAGATATACATCACATTTAGTTATATAGATATACAGCTGTATATAGACACACACAAGGTTATTGCTTTAGGGCCACAGATATTTACACACCCAGGAAGACTCATTTACAGTGAAACTGCCTTCTTGTACCTTAGAGTAAGAGAAAACAAAAACTCAAGGATTCTTTAGTGCCGAAACAGTACAAAGACAGCTGGAAAGTTGCTTCCTTGTGGCCGTCACTGGGAAAGAACTGTGGATACTAACTAATCTCAGGCCTCAGTTTCAAGAGACAGGTTTTGACGGGAAGCTCACCACGCCAGGCTTACCCAGAATCTCCGGCAGTTTTTGTACTTCAAGAAGTAACTGGAACACCTTTCTCTGTTATAGTTATTCTCATCCATACATCTGGTAGAAGCATCAGACTCCTTAAATATGTAAGAGAGTAATCATTTATAAGGTAGAACGGGATCGGAAAGAGACTAGAAACAGAGACTTCTGTAGCTGCATTCCTCCTAAAGCTATCATGTGAAGTGGTTCACTTTTGTTCAAAAAGGTAGACTAATAAAAACTGAATAATCTTGCCAATTACCCCAGAATTCGTTCTGTTGGGCTGGGCATCTTCCTTTTCACAGTCTCAGCCAGTTTTCCAAGTATCTGATCAAAGGAGTTTAAACTGAAGCACTGGCTGTGATTATCTGATACAGAAAGTGAAGCAACACACAATGTTTCAAAATCACTGCTGCACAGCTAGCCTCAGAAACCAGTACTCCAACTCACATACAGCTGTCGGCCTTTCCCAGTTCTCATTCTGACTTGATGTCTGATCTTAATTCTAGCTCACAGATTCCAAGTAAATTGCTAATAAGTGGTTTACATCAAGGAAACCTAAATTAACACCATTTATCTTAATGCATTTTTGGCTATCATTTACTGTTATGCAAGTAAGTACAGTATTATGTAAGCAATTTTAATTGTTATTAACATCATTTTAAGCCAAACCCTGAGCAACACAGGGCTAGTTTAAAAGAGAGCAGATCCCATTTGCAAATTAAACTTGCACTGTCTGAACTGGAAGCAGACTGAATGACACTTCAAAGTGAAAGGGATGATCACGAAATGTGCCAAAGAAAGCTTTCAATAAACAGGCAGGTAATTCGTTTCACAGATCTCAGAAACATGTTCTATTTTTTTTTTTTTTTTGGTTTTTCTCCGGTACCGGGAACCGAACTCACGACCTTGCGCTTGCCAGGCAGGCGCTTTGCCGCTGAGCTAAATCCCCAGCCCCAGAAACATGTTCTATTTAACAGACTTATTTACTAAAGCTGTGGAAAACGGATCTTAATATATTGAACAAGCTTGAATTTCTGTGTCATATATATTTAATGAGTATGTATTTTTGACAAGTGCATACAGGATTAGGGAGCACAATTCCTCACAGAACCAAAATGCAAGGACAATGAGGCCACAAGAAAGTTCTGCAAGTCGTCCAAATTAATCCAAACAAAAGCCTCTTCTGTTTGTAAGATACCTTTGTGAAAACCTTTAGGTTTAAAATAAGCTAATTTTATTATAGGCCTATTAATTACTCTTGGCCAAGTTGTCTCAAGGATATGATAAAATTACTGCTATGAAAACTACAAATTTCAGTGGTAATTTAAAACTGTGGTACCTTCCAGTTTTCAATGTCTGGATTAAAGATTTTCCTCACTGTTACATAGGCTTGTCTAGTTTTACAGGGACAACTCAATGTATGATTTACAAATAAAACTAAAGAATCTCTCCTATCTAAATTATGAACATCTAAAAATGCCCTAGTGAAATAAAATACGCTGGCCAAGCATTTTTTAACAAAAATAACTTTATTCAACACCTGCAGAAAACAAGATGCCCTCAAAATGGAAATGAACAGCAAACCCCCCTACCGACAAGCAAGGATTAACGTCAGGATCTCTCAGTCGCTTTGTCACCAGAGGCATCCTAAGTCTTCTTACTGCAGGGAGACAGAACAAAAAGTTTTAGGCAGTGCGTAACAGAAAATAACTTTTAAAATTTCACTGACTCTGCAAGTTCTTAAAAAGTTTAATTTTGGCATAATGACCACCGAGCAAAAAACTTCATGTACCGTCCGCACCCTCACAGACTTAGATGCGTTTCTCCTTTGCGCTGCTGCCGCCTCACCACAAAGGCCGCGCTGACATGCACCTACTGACGTTTGTAAGGTCCGGTCTGGCCGCTCAGCTACAATTCGGATGTAATTGGCTCTCGTTTCTGAACTAGATTAACAAAATCCAATACTTCTTAATGACCAACACACAAAATAAGCAATAATTGAGTACATTACGACTTTAGCAAAGACATTTATCAACCAAAGTCAGAGTGCTTGCCCTGTGGCCAACGCTAGAATAGTCCATACAACAAAAAGCCAATCACTTAGCTGACATTTTGAGAAGCCCCACAGTGTTTAAAAAAAAAAAAAAAAAAGTTACAATTTTACTCCCGGTAGCATCTTTTGTATGAAATGGCTTCACTTTTCTTGTCCACCATGGGGTCACAAAAATTACCAATTATGTTAAAAGAAATAAAGTGTATTCAGGACAGTCAAATCCCATGAGCCCCTGGTAAGCAGAGGTAGTCTCAATCAAGTCATCCTGACCAATTTCTTCTATCATGAGAACAAGCAGGATATCTGGCTAAAGGAGACCAATCTCTGCAAAGGATGGAAAGAGGTTTGGTTATCGTGAGGCCCTCTAACTTTTAGTAATCTCTAATCATTTTATATCGTAACTTTTATTGAACACCACGGGAAAATACCCGGTCAGCAGAAATACCCTGGCAGAAAGAAAATTCAGGATGTCATTCAATTACATCTTGAAGCTTGCGCACAAGCACACAATTCCTCTTGCACAGTTCTTCTGCAGAAACAATAGGACTTAGGAAATTCGGAGTCTTCTTCACATCCATCCGTGATGTGAGAGCACGGAACCCTGCCTGGGTGCTCACCCATCTTGGCTGTAACAGTCCCAACGATCAGGCACAGAACCGAGGCCCCGTCCTCTCCATGCAAGTACGCGATTCCGTATTTCACCATCACCCAGTCCCAAATTCTTTAAAATTAACACCCAGATAACGACACACGCGCGGGGATCAGGCTTGCTGCATGCGTTTATCTGCATGCCATTTTCCTTCCACATTCTAAATACAACTCTAAGCGTGATTTTCCGAACGTCTCCTCCCTCGCATGAACTCCTATGCATCCACAGGCAAAGAAGAGGAAACGTCAATTTACAGCCAGCGGCAGGGGTGAGGGGCACGGCCGGGAGCTCCACTGCAGAGGCCGTACCCCTCACCCTTCAAGGCCCCGCGCGGGACAACAGCCGCAAGGCTCTACCCTGCAGGAGGGGAGGCGGCGAGAAACCGCCGAGGCAAGCCGAGGGGAGGGCCCGGCACCCCGTGCGTGCGAGCGGGGACCGCACGGCGGCTCACGGCAGCGCGGGAACCGCCCTCCGCCCCGCACGCCGCTCGGAACAGGAAGCGGGGACGGCCCTGCCGGGCGGG